GATGGATGCTGCTCTGAACAACCTGGTCTAGCAGAAGGTGTCCCTGCCCATAGCAGGGGACTTGGAAAAAAGTGATTTTTTAAAGTCCCTTCCAACCTATTCAATGATTCTATGATTTCTTTCTGAGAACAACTCAAATAAATCAATGCATAGCAATATTTCAAACACATTCTGCATTTCTGATGCCACTCATTCCCAGAAAGAATTGTAAATTATGAGGATTAGCAACAGAGATTATTATATGTATGAAATACCTACCATAATAGTAACAATGAAACAAAGCAGGATGTGTCAGCTAAGAGACAGAGAAGGGCAGGATATCATAAAGTAACTTTGTGTGGCATAGAGAAATTCAGTGATGGATAGCTGTTTTTCATCTTTCATAATACTGTCATTAAAAAAACAACAAAAATATTGTTTAAAACACAGAAAGGTACTTTTCCTTACAGTGCACAATTAATCTGCTTAGTGACTTTAATTTCATAAGCACTTGTCTGTGAAACTATTGAGACAGTGAAATTTATTCTCTATTAGATCTCATACAATGCAGGTGGTCATGTATGATGTGACCATTTTATCACTGTAGCTGTAAAGCATTAAGATGCTGTGACTACCAGAGCAGTAGAAATGTTACAGAAATTAGGGAAGATTTTAATTTGAGGAGGTAAGTCAGACAACAAAAATTACTTTCTTGAACTGCATATTCAACTAATCTTGTTTCATATCCAATCATTCACTTTGTAAAACTATTTAAACAAATTAAGATTAATTTTTCTACTACTTTGTTATGCTTGAGAAATATTATCATCTGCTAAATTAGAGTCATGCATTTGGTTACATGAGCTTTCATTTGAAATATATTTTAAAAATTAATTACTTCCTACTTTGAGAAACAAAACCAAAGAAAATATCCCATATCTTCACTGGAGTTTTTACTGGGTTTTCTATTTTATTCTGCAGATAGCAACATGTTTCCATATCAGAGCTTCCACAGTGTTTTGTTCTCCCATCCAGTCAAATGCTTCAGTAGAAGATAATCCCCTCTTACATCTTTTTCCCTGGCTTAAACTCAGACCTACATCCAAGGTAATGAACAATCCATTCAAGTATACATCCACCTGAGTAGCTGCATGTAACTGAAGAGGACATGGGTATTGGCATCATTAACTACCACAGTCAAAGTTTATTACAGTCAAAGGTTATCACTAATGGCAGGCATGCTAACCATCACATCTTCAGAATTGTTATTATCAAGTCTCCACTCCAGACTGAAGCTTATGATCTACACTGCTCTATGAGGGGAAAAACATATAACATAAATATTGAAAGGGATGCTCATAAAGACTGTCTTTATCTTGTGGAGGGATCTTTGGGACATGGTCTGCAGGAAAAGTTCAGCTTCTTCCTAGATGGCTCTAAGGGTCTGAGCTTCAACTGGTTTTGCTTGGACTTTAAAAAGCAACTTTTCCACTGAGACTATAAATCTTGGAAAATCTGCCTTCTGTAGTCAAAACCAGCATTTTTAACCTCTGCCCCTATTTTTTCCATGACAAATAGGCACAAATGGAACAAATTTCTCCCACAAAGTAATAAGATTTGCTTATGTGAAGAAATAACTTACCTCTGCTTCTTTCAGACAAGTCTTTCCTATATAGCATATCCCTGAATGTTTCCTAACTCCATTTCCCAACATTCACTAGGAAAATAAGTAAAAAAAAAGGTAAGTTATGCCTCACTTCTTCTCTACATATTCTTTTGATATGATAGAATTTAGTCTTTTGGACAAAAACTGTCCCTGGCTCCAGTACCTTCCCAAAACAATCTCCCACAGGGACCCCTCCAGAAGGCTTGGAAGAAACCAACAGGTTTCCACAGAGAGACTATCAATTATGGAGACAAAGTATCTACAGCACTAGATCTAGTACTAACCAAAAACAAACAAAAAAACAAAACAAAAACCCACAAAATGACAAACACTAAATAATAACAAGAAAACAAAAAAAAAAGATATCAGCAAAGACTAGGCACAGATATTGTCAGTGGACATAGCAATATGTGAACCACTACTGCTATGTGAAAATGTGCACTTCTATGACACTTGCATTAAACTACTAAAATTAATTTTAAAATAAAAAATCAAGGGTTGTAAGATTAAACATATTACATAGGAATACTCCTGTAAGAATCAAAAAGTACAAATATGCTGCAGTTATAGTGGTAGAAAGAGATTACTCTTTAGTCTTTGATCCCAGATTTATTGTGCATAAATACTGAATTTCAAAATACTGAAAATACTTTCTCATGGGGTAAAAAATATTCTCTCAAAACCCCGTAACAGATCTAGTGAATATGGCTAGAAAGATATATACTAAGTATTAAATACTTAAGTATTTAATAAATCTTAGCAAACATCAAATGCTAGAGGAGGGAGCTTCATGTTCCCATTAAATTTCTTTTTCACTTGCAAAAGAAATATTATATTATGCAACTGCAGCAAGACAGCTTTTTAATTCCAAGTACTTCCTTTTGTTTTTTTCTTATGTTTAAACAATCTGAAGCTTGTAAACAAGAATAGCAGTCCTTTAAACACATATACCACTTACTGTGAAAAAGTGCAAATAGTGACACCAGAGAAAGAATGATGCTGAACTGACTGCTCATATTTTCTGTCTATATGTTTGCAGGGAGAGAGGGAAGGAGGAAGGAGACTACCAAGTACGAAAGTGTTTTCTTCTTTATATGTAATTATGCTTTGTCATTTTACAGGGGATAAAAAATAGGCTCTTAGTGTAGAAAAATTGACTGTATTACACTTCTGTGGATCATTTTATCAACAGAGTTAAGATCGCAAGAGCAGGTATTTCACTAGTATGGTTAAACCTAGAAACGTAACAAAGAGCACTCTTTCCCAACAAAGAAGCAGGAGATGTAACAAATACTTGAAGATAAACTTTGCTGTTTGCTTTGGGCCAGAAGAGTGATAAAGCTGGCTACATCTTCACTCATACATCTTCATGCAGTTGAGGAGTGACATGGTACAAGAAAAAAATCTGTGTCAAGATGGTACATTGTACTGTTTCTTTGTCCAAACATCTCATGATGTCCCTGTGTTAAGAACACATTTACCATCTCTGTTCTCCTCTATTCCAGAATTAATTGCTGATACAACTTAGTGGATATCTTTTTACAAGTCAATGAGACCAAACCCACTAAAATATTTAATAAAATAATAAATGGGAAAAACATTAAGTAAAAGAAATATAAACTTAATGAAAATTTGCAAGGATTTTCACAGACTGTGACATAACTAAGGATTCCCAAGAAGACATGCAACATGAGGATTCTTTATTTGGAGCTCATGAATAGACTAATCTGCCTACATAGACATATTGTATGTGAACTAATGAATGGCACTGATTTTAGCTGAAACACTGCACTTGTTTTGTACTGCTTGATTACTTTATTGTCATTTTCAAAAATAGCTTCTCTTGCTTTCATTCAAAAAAAAAAAAAAGGAAATGTAGTTGCACAGAAGTGTTTATTTGAAATCAAACCATGTTCTATGGTTCTTAAAGATTTTTTCCCCCCTGTTTTTAGTTCATGAAGAGGAGCGTGTCCACTTACATTCTCATAATAAGAAAGTTCCCACTGAGCATTAAAAAAGAAATCTAGTCCTGCCACAGGAAACAGTATGCACAGCAAATAGAAATTAGTTTTCTTTCTAGGAAAAAAAAAAAAATAACCCAAATATAATTTAGAGTTTTTCTGGGTTTTCTAACCCACCTTTTTATTTGCATAATAATGTAGAAATCTTTATAATAATAATAGAGCTATATGACTCAGCTCTACAAAAAAATGACAGAGATTCAAGTAGAAATAATAAGAAAATTGTCAGAAGCATAAAGAAGCCTGCATTTCCCTGAGAAATTACAGAAGTTTGCCATTGAAAAGTCTACAAATCAACCACATGAGAGGAAGGAGAAGTAGCAGTATTAGGAAAGACATTTCTGGCTACTTCAGGTGTCCTTCAGTACTTACAGCAAGTTCAGGAAAGAGCAAAATTTATCAGTAAAAACTTCAAATGATCTCTGCATCACAGAAAATGTCCTTCTTTAAATTTGCTTTGAATTAAAGTTAATTTGCAATTTAGTATCTGTTCTAGTGATTAAAATTTTCTAAAAAAGTGTTTGTTGGGGTTTTTTTTACACCAAATACCATAACTTTGAGTCCATGACGAAACTCTACGAATTAATTTTATTGGAGTTTCTATGATGTACAATTATTATTATTTGAGAATAAATAATAAAAATCCAGGACAAAATTACTGTACTCATCAGTATCTCAATACGGAAATGGTATGAAATAATTTGAACCTGTATGGAATAAGCTTACAAATCTTTAGGTAGCAAGCTTGACAAATTGCTTAATCATAAAAATGTCAGGTTCCTAAAATTAAATTTGTTACAGAAAAATTATACAAGTGTCTTGAATAAGGAGATTTCAGTTCTCCTTAACATTTCTGCTGACATGACAACAGAGACCCAGAGACCAAAATAATTCTATTGAAAAAGGAATATTCTTACTTGTTTCATCATCACTATCCCTCATTGCCGTGAACACAGAAGAATGTTGAGGAAAAATTTTTAAGTGCATACTGCAGAGACAATATAGTGATTTCATTTTCCTCTTCAAAGCTGTAAGTGATACTAGAGTTGAATGATAACTATACAGCGTATGAAACTTGGAACCCCAAACAACTTAGAAAATCACAACACTATCAGCTCTTGCCTTACAAATCACAGTTTCTGTAGGGTGAGAAGCCTCAGCAAGTTCCTATTACCTCTTCCACTGGAGCCAAGAGAAATTTTGCACAAGATTAATTTTGCTAAATGTAACAGTACTAACCTGCTTTCAAACCGCAGAGCCCTTTCTCTCAATGGACCCCTGAGCTTTTTGGAGCCAGACCCTGAAACAACCTCAGTTTTAGAGTGGTTGCAGCTAGACTTCTTCTCTGTGATCTCTCAAAAAAAGTTCTTAAGCAGTAAAAAAAGAAAAAAAAAAAATATATATATATATAATATTGTTGAAAAGAGCCTGGAAATTAAACTCTCAAAGAAAGCTGGCTCAGGGAAAATAGGTAAGACAGGGAAGAATTACAAGTTGTTGCACTCAACTCTTTTCCTCACTGTGTGCTCAAAGGTGAGTTCTTGCTTTCAGGCATCTCAGCAATTTTTTGAGTTGCAGTGAACTGCAATATACTTTGTCCCCTGGGAAGATTCGAGTCACTGCTGAAAGCTGGCTCTCTGCTTCTCACTGCACTATTTATCTAAGCATGAGCTGTGGACTCCTAGCTCAGTATGGTGAGTCCTGCCTCTCTTACCTTTCCATCTCTGTCATTTTCTCCTCTGAGCACAGGGCTAAATAAAAGAGCAGTCCCCACCTTCCCGTGGGCTTCACGGGTCTGGATGCCTAAAAAAAAAACCTAAAACACAAGTTTAGAAAAGCCAGTAAAAGAGATGCAAATCCCATCACAAATCTTAACAAAAACATCCATTCCAGTAAGCTGCTTTATGCATACAGGTGTCAAGAACAATATTGAGCTGCAATGCACATTCCTGTCCAAACATATCCCTCAGAGCCCTTCTTTTAGGTCATGCCCAAACTGCCACCAAACACAGCTGTATACAGGGCACACCTGGGCAAGTCTTCCTGCACCACCAGGTGCCTTCTCCCAGGTCCACCAGCCTGTCTAAACACCCTCCAGCCCATCCACCCGCCTTAGAGCAGGCAGCAGCTGCTGCCAGGCAGGGCTTTCTGCTCTGAGGCACACCCACCCACGAGTGCCTTCCCATGCTGGCTGTGGGCACCCAGGAGCAGGGAGGAAGGTGCCTTTCCAGCTGCCATGCACCTCACCAGCACACAGGGCACTGTGGACCCCATAGAAGGTAACAAGGCAGCTTCAGGGTGTACCCAACCCTGTTGACTGCATCTCAGCTGACAGGAACTGTCTTGAGCTTCTGCTAAGCAGTTGCCCCCTCAAAAAAAGAGGAGCAGCTTTCTAGCTACAGGCCACTTAGAAAAGCTACAGAAAAAAACAAAAGTGGATTTTTTTTTTTAGAAATTGATTTTTAGGTTTGCTGTTTATTGGCCTGGATGGAGAATCTTTTCACGGAGTAGCTTAGAAAGAAGATCAGTGCAGATATAAAACTTCATGTCAGAGTTACAACAGCAAAATATTACCTCCTAATTTCTTTCCTAATATCACTTTTGTTATGAGGCTTTGTTGTTTCTTTTCTTCTGTTTCTCTTGTTTCAAAATCTTCAACAAATACTGGTATCTCCTTAGTCAGCCCTCACCTTCAAAGTACCTAAGTTATTTTTAGAAGTACTGAACTCTTTTTCAGATATGACCTAAATAGATCTCCAGGGCTTACATTTATAACCTCAGTAACTTTATAAAAGTCAGTGGCATTGTTTCAACAAAGTCTTCTCATCTGCATTTTTCCTCTATTTCCATCTTAAGGGAAGTATAGTATTCATCTGTTAGTGACATCTGTCATTAGGAGTCAATGGATTTAATTTTTTAAATGTCATAATGTGTGATGCAACTATTTGATGTATATGATGGTTCCTTGATCATCTTAATTTCAGCCTTTTCTGTTCTATAATCTGCTCCATACCACTGCAAATGTTTAATTTGTGAAAAAAGCTATTTCTTTTTGACTCTTCTTTCATCACTGCCTGTGGGAGACAACGTAGAATATGTGCAGTGGAAACATCAACCCTAGAGAGAGCATTTCCCCTTCAATCCTGTCAACTGCCCTCTAGTCTTCTTTTTTTTTCTCTTTGTTGTCTTCATTCTATTCCTTTCATAAGGAAGCATCTACAAATTCATCAAGTCACCTTCTCTTATTTGGCAACAGACACTTTTAGTTAAGAGACAGTAGGTTTCATTTGTCTTTTAATTTGTATTACACTTATTCAAAAGGACTTTGTGTCTTGTCAACCTGTTCTAAAATGACTATACTTAAAATATGTCTGAATTCACTCTTTATAAAAGGATTAATATTGGAGTGTTGGACCACAAGTCTTGTGTCATTGAAGGCACAATGACGGGTGATTTATGACTGGTTTTAAAAAATGTATCCCAAGATACTAAGAAGAGTTAATTCTTCAAGCATTAGGGAATAATTTAAAGGAGTAACACTGATGTAAAGAATATGCAGAGACAATGGTCATTTATAACAAGTATGCATTCACTTTATTGTCTCCAATATTCAATTGTGATAATTTTAAAATAACTTTACAAAAAATTGTAAAAAAATAAGAACAGTATTTTTAACCTGATCCTTCCTGAAAAGACAGTGTTCTGCTACATTTACTAGATTGGGCAAGAGGCAATGGCTTTAAACGGAAAGAGAGCAGACTTAGTTTAGATATTAAACAGAAATTCTTTACTCTGTGTGTGGTGAGGCACTGGAGCAGGTTGCCCAGAGATTTTGTGGATGCCTCGTCCCTGCAACTGTTCAAACCCAGATTTGATGGGGTTTTAATTAACCTGATCTAGTGGATGATGCCCCTGCCCATGGCAAGGACGTTGGAACTGGATGATCTTTAAGGTCCCTTCCAACATAAACGATTCTATGATTTTAAATACACTTCACTTTTTTTTTTTCCCCTATGAAATGGAACATTAGATTATAACTGCAAAAACCAAGTAAATATCAATAAAAAACCTGAAGCAACCTTGCTCAGGAATGTTGTACTGCTGTGCACTAATGAGCTGTTACATTAAAGTCTGCCTTCTGCTTCTCACACTACCCAGTTTTATGATCTGAATCTACAAACAGTTTTCTGTACAAGTATATGAAGACATGTATTGGTACATAATGCATGATTTCTATGGACTGTGCATCATCTGACAGATAGGCTAATAATTGGGTTTCATCAATAAAAATCTCAGCTTGTGACAATGACCAAATTGTCAACATTTAAATTTTTTCAGTGTTTTCCAGAGAACTGAATGTTTATTTTGTGGATGCACTTTGAGAAGGACCAAAAAGGAAGCCATGGAATGGAAAATTGAGCTTTAAAGGACTTCAGGCACATGTCAAGAGGAAAATGACCTATAAAAGCTATTTAGTCTTTGAATTTCTACTCTTGGCATCTTACATATTGAGTTATTTGAATTATAATATCTGTATGGTGTTTAAAATTGCTTTGCAAGAGGAAGAAAATAGTCTTCTCAGATGGTAGTACTTTATAATATGAGCTAAATGTTTATGCAGAAGAATCAAGAAGGATAATGGAGAAACAGGAACTGTGCAAATCACACTTTATTGAAAAATCGATAATTTATCCTCTAGCTAGTAATCTTCCACTGCAAATCTAGGAACTTAAGTAGGCGACAGTATTGTTTGAAAAGATTTTTGCCAGTTCTCTGCTTCCTACAGGAGCTTCTGGCAGATTTTAACTACCACCTTTGCAACTTTCCTGGATATACTGTCTGAAAAAAAGAAAGCTAAAGACGCACCATGGAGGTAATTAAAGGTGCACGAGGATTGATACTTCCCAAACCATCATCATTTTGAACAACATCTACTACTTAAACAGTAAAATGATTCAAAAGTTTGTATTAGTACTTTGTATCAAGGAAGCACCTTGAGATGTAAAATCATAATAATCTGCCTTTGCAAAGGGAAATATAACAATTCTATCTCTTGATTTTTTCAAATTCTTTGTATTTTTATACACACACATAGTAACATACAGAATAATGCACTAAGCAAGATTCCCCCCTTGAACACATAGAATTGCTATTTTCAGTTGTGATGCCTTCATTGTAAATACAGATATTTAAATTCATTAAATTTTATAAGAATAGTCATCAATTTCATAGTGAATTATTTATTTTTACCATCTTAATTTTAAGAAACCCATAAATTATTGCAAACTTTACAAGATGTTTCCCTTAATAAGCAAGGCATTTGGAACCTAGAGGGCCATTTATGCCTGTTCCTTTTTCTTTACCATCTATGAAGTCTCCATTTTTATGGACATATTGGGAAACAGCGTATAGTAACATTTTTCTCTCCATAGGTTACAGCACATGCAGAAGTTTTAGTGTATTAACATTAATAATACTGTTAAACTCATGAGTATGTTCATCTGCACATTCCACATTTTTAGTGGAAGATTTTTGATTGCAGAAAGAATAAAAACCATGTAAGTACTTTACTGAAACATGGAACTAATTTCTTCAGGTCTATGGAACTAGATGTACTCTGTCTCTTTAGCAGCCTGATTATTTGTAGTATTTTGTCATTAAAGGGAATATATTTCTGAATAGCACTTGAAATTCTGGGTTATCACTGAGGTGGAAAGGAGGATTCAGAGTTCAAAACAAAAGACAGATAAGAGCCAGAGTCTGTCTGCTGAGGAATTTTTGCTTCCTGAGTATTCAGTAAACAGTCCCTATAGAGATGAGGCTCTGCTTAGAACATGACTAGCAATTGCCTTTGATATTTGTCTTTGATTTATGATCTGTTTCTGCCCTAGAGAAACAAGGACAGATGCTGGTTCCAGGTACTTCGATTGCATCTCAGGCACCCATTGTTAAAATAGTGCCTATGTAAAGAAGAGGACTTATCTGGCAGCTTAGAAAGGACAGACAAAACTCTGAAGCAGTAGGTAACCAATAAACTTGGAAACACTCACCAGCCTCCAATCCTGGAAATAAACACCAGATGCATCCTGATTAAATGTTGGGATGACACCAAGGAGTGCACCATCCTTCCTGTGAGGTTTGTTCACCTTTCTCCTGTGCTTTTCCAATGCCCTATATTTTTTTAGATAAAAGCATAAGTATGCAGCAGCAAGCTACCCTCTGACAGGTCTCCTATCATGAACAAAGGAATGGAATCAGAAGTGCAAGGAACACGACAAAACTTTCCTGCCCCATAGTTTGGATGCAGCACTTCTGTCAACTTTCAATTTAGGAGCCAGGACTAATCAAATAAAATATACCCAGAACCCATCTAAAATACAGCTATAGTTGTAAACTTTTACAAGTGGAGATTAATAGAAGGTTATTCAATAGCTCTGATTTGAATCAGGAAAAACTCTCACATGGAGTACTTTCAGACATCTGTTTAGCACCTGTATATCACAGATCAATTTCTCAGTTGTGGCTGAAGATTTGACTAATGCTTTGAAAACGTGAGATAATGAATGAATGCGGGAAGGAGTCCATTTGGAGAGGTTTGGTGTTATTTTTGCACACTCATACATAGTTGATTCGTTTTGTACTATCAGAATTACATAGGAATTACATGAAATTCCCCTCTGTTTCCTCTGTTGCAATTTTTGTGTGCTTCTGCAAATTGCTCTGCCTACAAACAGTTATGTTCTAGCAAGAATTTTCTAATGAATGAAGCTCATGTTCAGAGCAACTACAGGAGTTGCCACAAA